CATGTATTTCTAACCCAAAGTCTGTTTCTTGGGATTTACCTCACCAATATTTCTTTCTCCTTAAGAAAGATATTTTCCCGTGGTGTAGGTCGAATCCCACCAGACTATGCAGTTCTTAAGGACAAGGACTGTTTCTTACTCTGAATCCCCTGGTCCTGGCCCCCGAATGCTTGCTCCATAAACACACACAGGAGGAATCCTTCCACTCTGTGAGTCAATCTGCTTCCCCACCAGACTTGTTTTTCAGGAAGGCAGGTACTTTGCATTGACCATTGAAGAAACCTCCAGCCCTCTCCCGCCTCTGCTGGCCCTCCCACCCCTCCTGCCATGCCGCAGCTCGGGAAGTGCCAGAGGAACTGTCTAATTGAACTCTCCTTAGCAAAAGATCGCCAAAGGCCCAGTCTTTTTTAACTGACTTAAGAAACAGCAGTCTGTGTAGCCACATTTCAACCTGGCCAGGGGACAGAGGATCACATATAATGTGACCTCGATGCAAAGATGCCCAGATCTCTTGGATTCTCTGCTGCGTCTACTTTAAAGTTTTTCCTGTTTTACCTTTGCTTCCTTCAACGGTGGAAAGAGCACTGGATTCACAGTCAAGAAGCCTGAGACCTGCTCCCAGCCCTGCCCATTACCAGCTGGGGGCGTTGAGCAGGTCGCTTTACCTCCCTCCAATCTGTTCCCTTGTCTGTGGCCACTAGGACGCTTAGCGAGGCCAGGGGCACCAGGGTAAAACAGGAGCAGGCTCAGGGGCCCACCGCTACGCTGTGTGCTGGGGAAGCAGAAAAGCAGAGCGAGTCAGATGGGAGACGAACCGCTCCAGGCTCAAAACAACTTTCACTGAGTCCTGGCCAGCTCTGCCATCTTCTCAGGCCTCACCCAACACTGTTGTGGTCCCCATGTTCAGCTAGTGACAGCTTCAGCTTCTGGAGCACCGGGGCCACTCTCTGGAAGAGGGTGTGCTTTTCTGAGTTCATCCTTTCCTAACTCATCTTCTTACCCCATCTTCCCACCCAAATTACCACCACTCACCCACTAAGGCCTGCTTAATGGTCTCCAGAGTCCTCTTCCTCCATCAGCTTGGGATACCCCAGCTTGTTTGAAGTGCATCCACCATGGTCAATGGCTACACCCTGTCTAGGAAGCAGAGGCCTCCCCGGCAGTGTGTCCACTGTGTCCCTGGCCCTGCAGCAGGGTCCTGGTAACTGGGCTCACAGATGAGGACACTGAGGCCCAGGGAAGTCACTTGCTTGTCAAAGTCACTCAGCAAACCAGCTGGTCCTGGAGCCTCTGTGGTGGGAGCAGAAGGACACTGCACACATCAGATGCTCTAGCGTCCAAAATCTGAGACTGCTTCCCATGGGGTCACTATCTAATCTGCTGGTGACAATCCAGGTGCTCACCTGTCCCCAGCCTCAGCTCTGGTCCCCAGGGCCTGCACACTCCTGGCAGGGCATCCTGATAATTAGTGCAGCCCTCCCCCAGGTCCCGGGGTGGGGAGTCTTTAATGCACATCCCCTGGGAGTTCACCTTTCTCTTGCTGGCAGCCACCCCACAGGTGTCCCCATGATACGCTCCAGCATCAGAACAAGCCCAGGATTCGTGAGTGCAGCCCTCTGTCCCTGTGTGATTCCTCTAATGACAGGGTCCCTTCGTGCCAACAACCCGCAGGGAAACCTCCCCGAGCGTCAGAAGGGGCAGCGTGGCTTCCTGCTCTTGGTTGCTGTGGTTGGGTTTTGTTTTCTCTGTCTGGTCGTGCCAGGACATCTGTACCACATTCCTCTTTCTTGGCATCTTTACATCCCCCGGCTGACTCTGTTAGCTTCTAGGCTGGGTGTGGTCCAGAGGCTGCTTTCTTCCCACCATTTATCAATTCAGTTGCAAAAAAAACCAGCACTTCCCAACGACAACCAAAAGAAAATCAGTTAGTTGAAGAATCTGGAGAACTGACTTCTGGTGTGTTTTTACATGTACCAGGAAGTTTAAGCCAAAAATAATTTGCTGGGCACCTATTAGGTATCAAGTACTCTACTAGACCCTACGACAAATAGAAACGTGCGAGCTGATAACGAAGAGTCGGTGTGCTGTGGATCTGAGGCAGGGTTTCACCAGAGATGAGATTGCAGAGGTGGATGTGGGGCCCTGATTCTGGAGGGCTTTGAACACCAGACGGCATCTTCCATTCATGGGTGTTATAGGGAAAGCAAGTCTATGTTCACATAAATTTGGGAAATAGGACTTTTATAAAAGAGTTAATAGGTTTTTGCCTGGTTTGGGGGGGTGCTTTTCTCACAAGACTCGCCAGCCCTTGCTATGCTAACAGGCATTGTGAATCCCCAAAAGGAGAAAGAAGACGGCATTTCTCAGATTTGCCTGGCTGGGGAACCTCCCTTTTTCCCTTCATACAAAGTGTCTCCCAGGATGGTGTCTCTCAGCAGATACCCTGCGAGATGCCAGCCTTCCACTGAGGTGATTTAAGCTGGCAAGAGGCATGATTGGGTGGGCATTCGTGGGCATTTTTAAAGTCCATTCTGGAAACAAATATGGGAGAGGGAGAGGCTGGAGGCACGGAAACCTGCTGATGGGAATGGTTGCTGATGTCTGTGGCGGCCCTGTGCACAGCTCACTGAATCTTCCTAACGGCCCACCTGGGGAGGCGCTGCTGTTACCTGCACTTTACAGATAAGGACAGTAAGGCTCAGAATGGTCAAATCGTGGGACTGGAGTAACCCAGGGAGTTAATGGGAGAACTGGGGTTCTGTCCAAAGCGTCCGACCCCAGAGGCCACCTCATGAGCACTCTGCTGCACTGCCACCTAGCAGGAGCGGAAATTGCCCAGGCCAGAGGTGACAAGCAGTGAGGACAGTGAGACTGGAGAAATTGGTCCCCCGAAGTAGAAAGACCAAGCATAAGAGAAGCAGTACTGGGGAGAGTAGTATAGGAGATTGGGGTGTCCAAACAGAGGATAGCAGCCTGTGTGCCTGTGAGGGTGTGGGCTTCCCTTTCCCTCATCATCTCTTCCTCTTGATGAGCAGTGTGAATGGGTAGGAGGGCCTGTTCCCCTTTACCTCACACACTTCCTGTAAGCCATGAAGGGGAAAAACATGGCGGCCTTACCCATTCCCAGGCAGCATCCCCAACTCCCAGGTAGCCGCCAGCTGAAGAAGGGTCACCAAGCGAGGGTCGGCCCTCACACCCAGCTAATGGCATAGGATCTGAGAAGCCGGGGTGTATTTTTATCCTGCGTGTTCTCCATGTGCCACCAGGGAACCCTCCAGCAAGTTCCGTGCAGGGACCCAGGGACCCACAGACAACTGGGACACAGGCCCTATCCTCCAGGAGCAGTGGGGCAGGTTCAGAAAGCAAGTTATAAGGCAGATTTGAGATCTGAAGTATCACTCCCACTCAGTAAAGCCCTAAATCAGCACTGTCCGAGGAAAACATCATGGGAGCTTCCTATAGGAGTCACCTGTGGAATTCTGAATATGAAACATAAACAGATGAAATTGATTTTAATATAATTAACCCAGTATATCCAAAATATTCAACATGTAATCTAAAAGTTATTACCGTGGCATTTGACAGTCTCTCCTTGTGCTAAGTCTCTGAAGTCCAGTGTTTTGCACCTAGAGCACTTTTTTTTTTTTTTTTTTTTTGAAATGGAGTCTTACTCTGTCGCCCAGGCTGGAGTGCAATGGCACAGTCTTGACTCACTGCAACCTCCATCTCCCAGGTTTACGTGAGTCTTCTGCCTCAACCTCCCAAGTAGCTGGGATTACAGGCACCCATGTCATGCCCAGCTGATTTTTGTATTTTTTTAGGGACAGGATTTCACCATGTTGGCCAGGCTGGTCTTGAACTCCTGACCTCAGGTGATCTGCCTGCTTTGGCCTCCGAAAGTACTGTGATTTAGAGCACATCTTAGCATGGACTGGCTGCTGGGGACGTTGGCTCTTATATTGGCCAGGGCAGGTCTGGATTTTGTCCAGTTAAAGATGTATCTCTGTGACCTGAGTGACGGAATGGGAAGGAAACAAGCGGAAGCCTCCCGGGGATGGCTACGGGCCCGTGGCCTGGGTCTCGCGTGAATTTCTACTCTCCTTACTCGGCCTCCCTGTCTCTCACACCTGCAAGAGCATGGAGACGGGCAGGCTGTTGAAAGGACACTGCTGGGCTTTCAAGATAAAGGGTTTGAGCGTAGAGCTGAGAAGTCTGTGCTCTACAGGTTTTGATTCAAATCCTGATTTCAAAAACCAATCATTTTGTACAAATTTTACTTGTTCATCAGATGTTATTGAGCAGATTTTTTCCCAAGTCCCACGCAGCCTGCAGGCACAGGGATGAACCCCCTTGGAGACCGCCATGTAAAAGGTCCCGTGGGGGTAGCAGGTGAGGGACCCCACGCTGAGTCCCACATAGCAGGAGACAAGGAGGCAGTGCAAGTCAAGGCAGCACCCAACCTGACCGGCTCTTGAAGGACACGCACAGTCCTGCTGGAGCAGCTCGTTCCACCCGGAGGGCGGCAGGAAACAAGGCATGAGAGCCCAGTGCTACTTAAAGGGTCTGCCCAGGGCGGGCATGGGTGAAGGTTGAGAAAGGTCTGTGTGGGACACAGTGGGGTCCCGGTCTTGAGGGACATGCAGCGTCAGCCCCAAGCCTTGAGCAGGCACCCAAGGACAGGAGGGGGCGTGAGAGGTCTAGAGAGGCTGTGGGTGGCCGTATTGCACCTGGGAAGGCCCCCCGGCCTGTGTGGAGCATGGTGGAGGGCAGAGCTGGGGGCCTTGTCAGGAGATGATTGCAGTAGGCTGAAGACAGGCTAGAAAGAAAGAATGGGCAGAGGAGCCGGCCTCAGAGGTGGACAGTGGGGGCAAGGCGGGAGGCATCGAGGATGGCCCTCTGGCTCTGGCTCGGGTGACTGGGTGCCTTCCCCAGGCAGTGTGTGGAAATGCATTGAGTCTTCTCAGTGTATCCTGATGTTTTAAGTTTCCACTTTAATGCAGCTGCAGAGACTCCGTCCCACCCGACTGCCTCCCAAGATACAGCGCTCGAGGCCCGTGAGTAGCCAGCGGTTCCGCACTCCCCACCTAACACTGCCTGAGCCGTCCTCCCTCACCCTGACTAAATCTCCGGAGTTTGGACCCTCCTGCCTGGCAAAAGAGAACGGGGAATTGGGTTTTTCAGCTTCCCTGTCTGTGTGGCATGAACTTGAGCTTGCATTTTCTGGGCTTCTCTCGCTTTTTTTCTGAATAAGTTTGGTGACTTGCAGATCAGAGCTGTAGGTAGCAAGGGGCCACTGTGTGGTGTGTGTGCCGTGTGCATCATCTGAGCAGGTCTCACAGGGTGAGCAAGGGGTTCAAAGCCTTCCTCCACTCACCTGTTCCTCACAAAGGAAGCAGAAGTCTGGGGGCAGGGGTCTCCTTCCTGCCAGATCTTGGTCTGGAAATGCATTTGTACCTTCCTGCGGGTGGAGGCTATGTCCAGAGAGTATGCAGCTCTTATGGAGACAGGTACTGCTCCCCTGCCAGGCCTTCCTTGGAGATCCGCCTTCCCATGTAAAGTGCCAAGTAAGGGGCGTGGTGGTGCACGCCTGTAGTCCTAGCTACTCAGGAGGCTAAAATTGGAGGATCACTTGAGCCCAGGAAGTTGAGGCTACGGTGAGTTATGATTGTACCACTGCATTCCAGCCTGGGTGACAGAGCAAGACCCTGTCTCTTTAAAGGGGAAAAGAAAAAAAAAAGGATGAGGAAGCAGGAAAAAATATAAACCCACCACCAATTGGGAATGGGGTGGGAGGGCAAGAGATTCGTCCATGGTTTTTTAAAAAGAGATCCGTCCATGGAAAAATACTGGGTCTGGGTCCCATGTTAAGCATCAGTGGAGTCATGTTCCTTGGCAGGTCAGACTTCTGCCATGCTGAGGGATGTGGACTTTAGCAGGTGCCTTGAAAGTGGGAAACCTGCCAGGACCTTTTGGTGAGGGCTGTTTACCAAGGGAGAAGTTTCTCCATCTACCGTTCAGTGTGACCACCACTCTGTGGCCAACCAAAGAGCACCCTACAACCCAGTGTCCTAACCTCCCGCCCTCTGCAGTGCACGTATCCAAATCCATCTTGTGAAGGCAAGGAGGCCGGGGCATGTAGGTGACCAGGTGAACTGCGTCTGTTCACCTTGGGAGATGCACCCAGCATCCACTGGGTAGCTGTTCTCTGGGTGCATGTTGGCCATTCCATGGCACTGTTTCCCTTCCCCTTCCCCTTCCCTCCTCTCCCTACTGTGGGTGGGACTTAGAGGGCTAGGAAGGAGGCTGGGGGGACTTAGATGCCTTCCCCTATGACTACTGTGAGTCTACACTCCCAGCCACACATGACAGTGGATCCATCCCATATCCCCCATCAAAGTGCGGTTGGCCCAAACCCCCATCAGCACAGCTGGCAAGGAGCTAGAATATGTCTGCTCACTGTCTCTGGAAGGAAGATACAAGCAGCAAAAAGAAACTGCTTTGTGGGGCAGGAGGCCCCTTCTAGGCTGAACCTTGTGTGACTAGTGAGAGTTTCAGTACAGTCCTGAACAGCACGTATTTGGGAGGCCCACAGAGGTAGGCTTGAATGCTGAAGTCGTGTCATCTGGCAAGCACTGAAGCTCTCCGAGTCTCATTTCACCTCCTGGGCTGTGCCCTCATTCCTAGAGGGGTTTTGTGAAAAGGAAAATGGATGACATTTGTAGAGCACACACAGTGCCTGGCACACAGTAGCAGTTCTTATTCTTAACAGGTTTTTTTACATCCTACAGCTTCTAAGGAATGGCCCAGTTTATTAATAACTACCATTTGCCTAGGATTTTACAGTCCGCAAATCATTCTTAGGTACCTCATCCCAGCTGAGCCTCACAATAGTTCAGTGAAGCAGGCATCGTCACCACTCAGTTTAGCAATGAGAAAACTGATGCTTGGTAACTTAATCCAAGTTCCTCAAGTGCAAATAAGGTCATCGGGACTCTAGAACCTATGGTCTTGCCAGCATTCCAAGCTCTCTGGATCTTCCATCTTCTGATTGGGACCAGAAAAGTTTCAGGTTTCAGTTTGTTTCGGATTTTGGAATATTTGCATGCTACATCCTGGTTATTTGCCCCTAACCCAAAATCCAGAATACTCCAGTGACCATTTCCTTTGAGCATCATGTTGGGGCTCAAAAAATCCGGGATTTTGGAGGGTTTCAGATTTTGGATTTTCAGATTAGGGATGTTCAACCTATATAAAATGCTGGGGGAGAAAAAAAATCAGTCAAGAAAAAAAATAACCAGCAGCAGCTGAGATGTCTGTGGAATCTCCAGTGCCACATTAGGTCTGGCAGAGACACAGAAGAGAAGAGAATGAATATTCATTGAGCACCATTCATGGTGCCTAGGACTGTGCTGGGTACTTGTGTGATGATTATCTCATTTGTCCAGCCCAGAGCAGGCAGATGCTATCTCCCTAATTTATGGCCAACACCACAGGGATGATGATAGGCCTGATGACAGTCCTGCCTTTGAGCCCAGCTTGCCTCTCTCCACTGTCTGTCTTTGTTTTCTAGCAAACAGCCTGCCCTTAAGCCAAAGTCAGCAGCAGATAGCCCTTAGAATTCCCCTCAGAGCCTCAGGATCCTAGGCGGGCAAGGAATCTTTTGGAAGTCATGATTCAGGGAAGCATCAGTCCCCTTAGAAAAATTCAAGTATTGGAGACAGCTACAGTGGACTCCGTGTTGTCTTACTCGTGGGGGGATCTGTGCAGATGGAGGGGTGGACAGCCATATCCGTTGGCAACCGGGGACTTGGGGAGACACGCTGTGAGACACTGAGCAGCAGTGGCCTCAGGCACTGAGCTAATGCAGGAGGTGACTAGCCTGGCACTAGCTATGGCTGGACCTGCTGGTTTGATGGCATGCTGAAGAGGCAGGGGGGCCTAGGAGGACCAGCTCTCCTAGGCTTGGAAGTCTGAGAGGCCTGCCCTGGTTTGAATTACAGCTTGGCCACTTCCTGGCTATGTGACCTTAGGCAGGATCCTCACCTTCTCTGAGCTTTAGTTTCATCATCTGTAAAATGGGTTTAACAGTACCACCTGGTAAGGGTAATGAGGTTGTATATGTACAGTGCCTACCACAGTCCTTGGCATGTTCCCCAAACTACTTCTGCCAAGCCACACCACTAAGAGACCAATTTGGGAGTCACAGAAGGTTGGTACTTTCTGGGCCACTAGGGACCACTGATTCTCCACGCACTGGGGCAAGCATTTCCAATGCACACTGCCACACACTAGGTGGGAACTGGGGAGACTTGGCATATGGAAGCGCGCGAGGGCCTCAAAGAGTACAGCCTACCAACTTCCCATGTCAGGGGCCATCAGCCACCAGCATGGACCCTTTGCTGGGTCCCTTAGTCACAAATGTTCCATACAGAAGTGCAGCCGTTGGCCCAGAGTAGCAGGGGTGGGGAAGGGTCTAGCCATTCAGACTTTCTGGAAGGAGCTTTGTAGCCCGGCGCCTGTGGCTGGAGTTCAGATGTTACCCGAGGGTTTGGGTTTTCTTTTTAAAAAGAAGCAAAAGGAAAGAGCAGAAGAAAACCATGCAAGTGTCTCATGGACGAAGGGGCATGGGTTGGGGCCTGCCAGGGAGAGGCAGGCTGCTGTCAGCCTGCTTGTGAAGCGCTTTATAAGCTCTGTATTTATTATTTCTTGCTCACCATTAAAATCAAATGTACTCAGTGCTTTTGTATTCAATACACATTTAACCCTGCCGACTTAGATTTCTCAGGTTTTAAATCCAGTGGGGAATTGGCTGGCTTCCCAAGTTTCCCCTCCAGTCCCCCTTGAACAGAGCTGGAAATCTCTGTTTAGCATTTTCTCCCCTGGCGCGGCTGGGACCCTCACGCCAGTGGGGCCAGTCACTGTTGTGTGCCTGCAGGGTTCTTCATCCCCAGTGCCCACCCTTCCCAAGCACCCCGGAAAGACAGGTGTGGTTGCTGAAATCTGACGAGACTTGTCTGTATCATCTGTGATTTGGGCTTAATTAAACCATTCTGTCTGTGTGTATATGTGCCTGGTTGTGGTCCGCCACCGTGTGAGTGTGTGTGCGTACGCGTGTGTGATTCATACATGTGCCTTCACCTCTTGCGCGTGCCTCTGTGAGTGTGTATTTGTGAGATTTGTGTACGTGGAAGTCTGGAGGCCTCAATGTATCTCGGGATGGTCCTGTCTGCAAGTGTAATTTTATGTCTGGCTTTGTCCACACCAGTCAGGTGTGTGTAACTCCGGGAGGGTCGGCAGCCGCGCTGGTGACCCACCGCCTCTGGGTCTGGCGTGTCTTTCTCTCCCTCCCCAGCCTCCGTGGCTCCGGTGCTCCCTACCCCCGCCCCTCCCCCCCTGCTCTGTCTGTTTTATCATCCCTAATGAAGCAGTCTCCTCCACCGATCCCGCTGATTGCCAACCCATTCCTTTTGTTTGTTGGCGCTGAGCCATTCAGCGGCACTCTGACAGCTCAGCTCGTCTAATTAGCTCTGTTGTTCTTTTTCCCCATGTTTCACCACGTTGCAAGTTCAGTTGAAGTTGCCACAAACTTAATCCCCCCATTTCAGCCACAAGTTCACATTCTTAACCCGCCTTTATTGTAGCGAGGAGCAGCCCTGTGCGAAGATGAGCTGACAGACCTTAAAGTCTGACCTTTCCTGAAAGCTCTGCCCCAGGGCCCCTGGGGCAGGGGCAGAACTGCCCCTTCACCCTAACCCACACTCCCTCCTTTTGTGGGGAGAAGTTGGGGGTGGGGATCATTCCAGCCAGGTGACCCTGCTTACCAGCTGCCAGAGCTGGGGAAAGCAGTTGAGAGTTAGAGGGGGTACGGGGATACCCACTTGTTTATTCAGCCCATGTTGACTAAATGCGAGTGTGTAGCAGGCCCGGTTCTAATAATGATGATACTAGCAACGTCATTACGCGCTTCTCAGATTCCAAGCAGCAGCATTCGTTTGTTTCTGAAAATCTTGCTGAGCGACCGCGACACACCAGGCAGTCCGCAGAATGCTAGGCAGGGACGAGAATCCTGAAACTCATCTTCTAATCCAGAGACACCCCCGCCTCGTCTTCCTTTTGTTGTTGATAGGAAGGGACACGCAGGTCACAGAGGAGCAGGATGCGCATTTATTGAGCCCCCACTATGTACCGGACCCCATGCAGGGCTCTCCCTGTATCTGGTCTTCACAATCACCCCATAGACGAAGACAGCCAGTTTGGTGGAATGCATTTGGTGTTTACCACATCCCTGATCTGCCAAACCAGTCTGAGATCAGACTGGCCACTCCACAAGAAAAACTTTGGTTAGATCAGGCATGCGCAGACCTGAGGGCTTGATGAGACTGCATAAAGACTTGCCTTTCATGCAGCCAGCTCTGTAATCTGTGTTCCTAAGCCACTGTGCTGTGTCGCCCACAAGCTTCTGGGGGGCGAGGGGTTTGATGTTCAGGAAAAAGGGCAGGCGGGAAATGGAGTGTGCACTGCTCTCCTTCCCTGTCTGTCCTGGAAAGTCAGCAATTGTGGCATCCCATCCGTAGAGAAAGCAAGCCCCCTGCCCTGGTAGGCTTGGTTGGTTTTGTTGGCACTGAAATTCAGAAATAGACTTTCTCAGTGTAGCTTCTCAACCCGTCCCTCTCTGGCACTGGGAGTGTACAGAGATGGCCGTGCCAAATTTAAAGCCATGTAATGTTGATTGGACCAAATGAGTGTCCTTCTAAGGGCAGCCTAACCCCTATCACAGGTTCTGGCAGGGGATCGAGGGATGAAGGCATCTTTTTCTGTGGGCCCTCATCTTGGTTTCAGAGGCAGCAGGTCAGAAAAACCCATGTCGCCGCTGCAGCAGCAGCTGTGAGGTTAGGAAGCTGTGTCCCTCCTGGTGTGCCCACTGCAGACCTCCCAGTGGGTCTCCACAGTGCGCACAGCCACATGAGATATGCAGCATCCAGGCTGAACCCCGCCGGGAGGAGCGGCACAGGGACGGCCTGGGAGGCGGAGAGATGATTTGTATTGCCACTCTCTCATGCCTCTCTTAGAGAGGAAAATAAGCACCCTGTGATTCTGCTGTAAAAAGAGCAAACAAAGCATGTGTACCCTAAAAACTAGTCTGAGTGAAACCCTTTCTTTCTACAAAACCAGCTTATGGTGTCAGAGGAAGATGGGAGGGAATTGTCACTGATAAGGGGCCTCTTTGTTCCGGGTCCTATGTTGACATCATGTCATTGGACCCTCACTGCAGCCCTCTGAGGAGACTAGTGGAACTATCCTCATCTTGCAGATGAAGAACCGAGCTTTCCAGGAGCACCTTTCTGATTTGAATAGGCCACAGAAGTAACTGGAAAGTTAATGCGTCTATCTGCTGCCCATTAGATGGTGATGTTTCTATGATAGGCTAGCCTTGTATAGCCTGTAGCTTTGAAAATCCCTAAACATTTTGTGGGGGGGTGACGTTTATTCAAGTCTTCGGAATGTTCCTGTGTGGCTTTTCCAACTCACTTCTTCTTGGGGGCCTCCCCCTGTACTCCCTCTAGGTGCGCCCACCTCGTCCACATGTCGTTAAGAGACCAAAGAGCAACATCACAGTGGAAGGCCGGAGGACGTCTGTGCCCAGCCCTGAGCAGTGAGTGCCCCATTGCGCTCCCCCTCTGTTTGCGAGAACCCTCTGTCTGCAGGGCCAGCACTTTGTGGAGCCCAAGCATGGAGCCCCGGCCTTTGTGAGGCTTCCCTGGGGCCCCCAGCGGGTGTTTCACAAAGGGGTCATTCAGGGAGCAGGGCTTGATCTTTTACTCGGTCTGGTTGTCACACCAGCAGGAGGCCCCAGAGTCCAGGGAGCGAGGCACTTGGGCTGGATTTCGAGTGTTGGGGTCCATAGGGTACTTTGCTGGGTTCAGAAGAAGGTCCTAAGCCTCTTGTGCTGAAGAAGCCGAGTCACTAGGTGAGGGTTAGAACCTGGTCAAGAAGGCCGAGTGTTGAACTGGGTCCACCCACCTTCCTAGGCCTCCACGGCCGAGATCTGTGTACGACTGCCCTTATCCACTGCCCAAGCCCCACCAGGACCCTTTGCCCACCTGTGCCGCAGCATTTGTTACTGTGGTTTTTCTTACCCACCTCCCTGCAACACGGAACTCCCTGGGTGTTATGCCCAGCACCTCCCGTAGGACTGGCCTAGAGTCACCTGCCCAGGAGGTGTGGGGTAGAAGAGGTGAATGAGGCAGAAAGACAAGCAGTGGCCTGAGATATAGCTGCCTGCAGAGAGTGAGGTAGAAGGCTGCCGACAGCCCTGAGTCCCGACCACAGCCATCTGCGGACGGTAGCGCTGCTCCCCTTTGTCTGCAAGGCATGCAGCCCTTGATCTCTATCCAGGCAACTCAGTGGCGACACGCTGGCTTCCTGTGATGCCTAGAAAAAATGCATGAGTTCATCTTGGTCTAGGATTGCTGGAGGAGTCAGAAAAATCACCCCAGGGATCCTGAAGTTCTTTGGGTGGAAAGGGCCCCCGTGTCTGGCTGGCTCTCAGAAAATGTCTAAGGGAAAGAACGTAAGGGACATGGCAGGTCCTAGCCAGAACTGGAACGAGAAGGGAAAAAATGATTCCAAATGCCAAGCTGGGCCTAACCTAAGTTGTAGTTCACTTCAGCGCTCTGGGATTCTCTGGTTGATAAGGGTATACAGTCTTTGAGGAACCAGCCCACCCAGACAGCCCTCAGACTTTGCCCAGAAAGTCGTGGAATTGTGTGTGTGGTATGTGTGCACGTGATGGCACACAGGGATGCTCAGTTATGAGATATTTGGAAGAGAGGACTCCTGAAGTTGGGTGTAAGTTTTAAACTTTTGCTCTGCACAATAGCCTGGTGGGAACATTGAGGGATGGATTATGATTGCCCCCTTGTGGAGAGAATGCTACATGGCACCTGAGTGCCTCCTTAAGGGGATGAAATTTATCACATTTCTTTAAAGTCACCTCTTTAAAACTGGACTAAACCTTTTAGACACTGAACCAGGATACAGGGTCACAGGCCTGTTGTTATTGAGATGTAAGCCAGAACATTCCTGCATTACACAAAATCACCATTTCAACACCAGCTATACTCCACATGCTACAGAAAAGCATTACCGATTTTGTGGCCAATTTCCCGATGAGAGGCTGGACTCCTCATCACATTGACTCACGATGTTGCTTTTCCCTGCTGGGCAGAGGAACCGACTCCACAGTGTGTGCCAAAGAGCCTGTATCTGATAATCCCATTTTCCTACTTATCACCTGAACTGTGTCAGTATCGCTTTTAGGTTTGTTGGTTGGGTTGATTGGTTTGTTGTTTGTTTCAGTATGTCCTGTTTTCTACTTCTGTTGGGAAATATTTGGGGTTGAAATAAACCAGCAGGAGCATGGGAGCCAGTTTGGTGGTTGGCAAACTAACAGCAATAGAAAACAAATGACAGGTTTTCTGTGACCGTACGTCACAGCAGCTCAGCCCACAAGGAGATAGAGGGACAGGTTTCAGGACATCATTCCAAGGGTTTCTGTTCACATTTGTTTAACGAGGAAGGGGAGGTTGTTCTCCCTTAATGCCAGTGGCATTTCTGGTGCAACCCACTGTTTTTCTCTGTCTCTTCCCATGCTGCCTCCCCCACCCCCCCACGGTGCTCCTCCCCTTCCAAATGCCATGTCGCAACAGCACTTGGATGTGTTTTTCTTAACTGTCATCAGCTCCAGCTGGCAGGACCAACTTCTTGAAACACAGGAAGCATCCAGCGGAAAATATTTTAATAAAACAGACTCCTCATAAAATATTGTTTGGGGGAGGGGGAGGAAACCGTCTCCACCAATCTGTTGGCATTGTATTGAGAGATGTGAGAAGACAGGCCGGCAGCAGGGGCCCAATCCTAATGGGCCTTTGTTGGGTGGTGATTCTGTGTTGGGCACACAGACTTGGTGCCTGGCCCTTTAATCTGGCCTGGGTCTTCTTGAATCACAGATCTTCATCTCCACTGGGAATATCAAAGTGCTTCAGAAACTTAGAGGATCAGGGCGGCAGAAGGGGATGCAGGATGTCTGAAGTGGAGGGGAGAGATTCAGTCCTCCAGACTTCTTGCCTCAACTCTCACTTGTAATTGCACATTAAATAACCAGCTTTGGCCAGGCGGGGTGGCTCATGCCTGTAATTCTAGCACTTTAGGGAGCCAAGGCAGGCAGATCACCTGAGGTCAGGGATTCAAGACCAGCCTGGACAACATGATGAAACCCTGTCTCTATTAAAAATAGAAAAATTAGCAGGGGGTGGTGGCGCACCCTTGTAATCTCAGACACTCGAGAGGCTGAAGCAGAAGAATCACTTGAACCCAGAGGCAGAGGCTGCCATGAGCTGAGACCGCACCACTGCACTTCAGCCTGAGCAGCAGGGTGAGACCCTGTCTCAAAAATAAAATAAAATAACCAGCTTTGTGGGCAGCAAGATGGGGCTGATTAAGAGCTAGATTGTCTCCTGGGGCCACTGAGCATCCTGGGACTCATCAGGGCCCAGAAGCACCAGCCAGCAGCTCTCTGGCCAGTCCACCCGTGAAGTTCATTTCTTCCTTCCCAGCCGATGTCCATCCCTCCGTCGTTCCATCTGTCCATTCATGCATTCAGCAAATATCTTTGAAAACCTACTAGGCGGAAGCTACGTGAGATTTTTGTAAAGGAGGCCTTAAAAGGGATTTCCCATGCTGACTCTTGCATTGACTTGCATTTTCCCAAAATGAAATTTTCCTATGTCAAATTTTCTTTTTGGATTAACAGTGGGTTTCCTAGCCCCTTAAAACTGACTGTTAGCAGTTTCTGGGGAAAATATTCCCTCTACTTTTCAGGTAACATTACTTAGCTAATACTCAGTTACTAAATCTCTTCAGGAAGTACTGGCTACTTCCATCACTATTGAGAGCACAGCTGATGGGACACCTCCGGGCTTCTCTGTGGCTTCTCTCCGGGTAGGAGGGATCCCACAGGAGAGGCTGTGGGTTAGACACCAGTCAGCAGGGGGCGCGGTGGAGCACCCATTGATTTCTAGACCCTCTTGGGCCTCGAGTCATTTCTTCTTCCAGAGTGGGAGCTCAGGCTCAGAACAGGAATTTGACCAGTCTTCCCAAGGTCACCCAGTTGAAAAGTGGCCAGGCCAGCATTCAGAATTCTTGATTTCCTTCTCTGCATGCCACTCTGATGCTGTCCTTGGAATGGAGCCCTTCAAGGTCCATCTTTAGTCTGGTTTTGCCCAGAGAGACAGCTCCACATCCTAAATGGAGATGCCTGCCCATCAGGCCAGCCTTCCTCTCTGGCTCCCTGAAGGCCGGAATTGGGAACTGGATCTATTCAGTCTTCTTACTGCCAAAGAAATTGTGTGAACTGGTGCCTGAGCGTTCCTTCTTGAGGAAGAAGAGAGAAATGACGTTTACTGAACATCCCTTAAGACTGTCAAAGGTCTTAGCTGGGCATGGTAGTGTGCGCCTGTAGTCCCAGCTACTCAGGAGGCTGAGGCAGGAGAGTTCCTTGAGCCTGGGGAGTTGAAGGTTGCCGTGAGCTGAGATCATGCCACTGCACTCCAGCCTGGGCCTCAGAGCAAGACCCTATCTCAAAAAATAAAATAAAAAAAAGATTGTCAAAGGTAGGTGGTAACTTTCCCATTGAACAGATAGAGAAACTGAGGCTCAGAGAGACTTTCCATAATTTGCCCAGGGTTTCTCAGGACACGAAAATGGTAGGATCAGCTGTCTGATGACAGAGGCCTAGTCCATTCTTCTCTGCTATCTAAGCTTTTCGTTAAGAACCTAATTAATGCCGGGCATGGTGGCTCATAGCTGTAATCCCAGCACCTTGGGAGGCCAAGGCAGGTGGATCACTTGAGGTCAGGAGTTCAAGACCAGCTTGGCCAACATGGTGAAATCCCATCTCTACTAAAAATACAAAAATATTGCTGGGTGTGGTAGCTCATGCTTGTAATTCCAGTTAGCAGGGAGGCTGAGGCAGGAGAATCACTTGAACTCAGGAGGTGGAGCTTTCAGTGAGCCTAGATCATGCTGCTGCACTCCAGCCTGGGGGACAGAGCTAGACCCTGTCTCAAAAAAAAAGAAGAAACAAAAAAGTGGGCCGTGGCGGTTTCCACGGGGTGTACATGTCTGCCAGGCCCCAAGTTATTTTCCTTCTGGCCTTCCAGGTATAGGGGAATTGCCCATCCAACTGGATGCTTATAAAGAGCTGATGTCAGGCTCTGAAAGGCAGCACTGTGGTCTGAGCCCCCGGGCCTCTCAGGATGGCACGCTGTGTGCAGACTAAAGCCAAGGCAGGGAGTGACACACTGAGCCCCGGGCTCTTCTCTCTGCCAGGCAGCGCGTCATTTGTTCCCTCTGGGTGGCGGCAGTAGGGGCTGGAGCACTGGCCCTCACAGAGTTGCTGAGAGTATGCAGGAGACCGTTCTATGCATGTGCCTCCTGTTTAATCTCCACAGCCCAAATGTAGGGTGTCTTCTGAGTCTTCAGGGGGAGGGGCTTGCAGTGGTTGTGGATCTGAGGGGCCCCTCCTGACCACCTGCGTGCAGCGCCAGGTTCTTTCCAATGCATGCCTTGCCTCCTAACTGGTGAGACACTGAACACCCTCCAGTCACACGAGGGTCTAGAATGGCTGCATCCTGGTTATTTGAACTTCCACTGTACTAAGTAAGAAGGGTCCAGACTCAGCCACCAGGGCCCACGGCTGTCGCCCAGCTCACCTCTCTGGCCAGATCCATGCAAAATCTGCTCTTTTTGGGTAATTTTTGGTTTGTAAAAATTGCCCAGTAGCCTGATAGACAATCTGGAAGGCTAGGAGAAAGAGACACATTCGTTCTGAATCCCATTAGCTCGTTCCACTGCTTCCTAGCGCTCCTGTAGCTCCCCGCCCAGTCTTCATCCTCCATGTCTTTGACAGAGCTGCAGCTTCCTTGTGGTATGCCGGCATTTGGACGTGTTCCGTGTGTCTCTGTAACACCTGTGGTCTGTGACTGCACAGGATCTCATTGTGTGTATGTTCACGTCTGCTTACCCATTGCCCTCATACTGGATCTTTAGATTCTTTCCAGCTTTTCATTCATATGAAAAATGCCAGGGTAAATATCCTTATTCTAGGCCAGGCACGGTGGCTCATGCTTGTATCCAGCACTTTGGAAGGCCGAAGTGGATGGATCACTTGAGGTCAGGAGTTCGAGATCAGCCTGGCCAACATGGCAAAACCCCGTCTCTACTAAACATAGAAAAATTAGCCATGTATGGTTGCACACACTTGTCATCTCAGCTACTCGGGAGGCTGAGGCAGGAGAATCACTTGAACCCAGGAGACAGAGGTTCCAGGGAGCAGAGATCGTGCCACTGTACTCCAGCCTGGGCAACAGAGTGAGAGTCTTAAAACGGAGAAGTAAATGGAACTGTCGACAACTCTCATTAACAAGGAATACGCTGAGCACTTTACATTCACCATTTCATTTAACCCTCACAAGAAACATGTAGGGGTAGCTCTTGTGAGATCCATTTTATAGAAATAGCTGAGACTTCAAGAGGTTGTCACTGCCCTTGGTCACACGGCTAGTTAGTAGCAGAGCTGAGCCTCAAACATGCCTCTCTAATGCCAGAAGCCTTTACCCTTAACCAGACATAAGCAGATTTCTGCTCCATATTGCTGAATAACTTTCTAAAAGAATTCTACCACCTTGTACTCTCACCAGAACGGGACTCCGAGAAATCTGGTTCTGAGGGACCGAGAGGAACACGTGACTGGCATTCAAACATGTCTCCAATTCCTTCTGGACAAGAAAAACTTCCGCAGGCCATGCCAGCTACGTAAACAGTGTGTGCCCCAAATGGCCAGCCCATGGTGCCTAGGAATTGGAGTGTCTGATCCTCTGAATTACACTGTGTGACCCCAGCACCAAAGCCCCAGAAGATTAAGATCAGAAGAAGCTGCCAGAAGCATTTAGTGAGAAAACCCCTCCCGAAGCCCAGGTCTCAGAACACTTTGCAGTTGACTCTTTGGACGCTTGCACCCATGCTCCGGCAGAAGCTGGCATGCGGCTTGTGCCCATTCAGCGGCCTCGCCCTCCTCAGGCCCGGACTCAGCACAGCCTGAGCAGTTCAGTCGCTCCCAGCTGTGGCTCACACAGGGGCAGAGCACAGTTCGTCCTGCACAGCCTCACAGCTGCCCTGCAGGCGTGGGCCCATCGCTTGGATGATGGCCTAGTGCATGGGCAGAGCTTTGGCATCCAGCAGGCCTGAGTCAGCGTCCTGGCCCACCAGGCACCAGCCCGGACGCTCTGGGTATGTCTCCTGGCCCTCTTCGCTTACCACGATGCCTGTTAACATCTCCAGGAGCAAGGCTGGGGAAAATGCCCACAGGAGGCACTGGCATCCTGAGTGAGCCGGGTGTGTGGCCTCCCGTCCGGCCTTACCTGCTGAGGTGGCTGCCAAAGCCTCAGCACTACAACACCCCCGACACCACCATGACCGGCCCCCTCTCCTCCCTCCCATGCCCACAGTCCCTTGCACTTCTCCTGATCTGGCAGTGACCTGCCATGTTGTAGTTTTCTCTTCATCTCACGCACACCAGGCACACCAGTAGTCTGTGAGCTCCTCCTCCGCTTTGACTCTCCAACTCCCAGACCAGAGCCAAGCCCAGACCTCTGCTCAGAGATGTTTCCTGGGTGAATGAGCAAAGGAATCTGTGAAGGCAGAGTGGTTTGCAGTCAGGAACCCGAGAAGCGGGGGAGGGGCGTCCAGTAACAACCGCAAACAGAATACCTACTGTGTGCCGGGTGTGATTAGGACGTGCGTATGAAGCTGCCAGTGCAGCCCCAGCCATCTAAGAGCCAGGAACTGTGCTCAGCCCCAGGAGCCAGTTTCCAAGATGCCAGCTGAGCCCTCGGCCCCAGGGGGTAGGGGCAGCTGTCTGGGCTCTACCCCCTGGCAGGCTGCCAGGGCCCACTCCCTGAGCAGCCAGCAGTCCAAACACATGAGCAGAAGGTCACAGACCCAATTAGCAGGGCTAGAGCCTTCTGGCCTGACCCTTCCTCTAGCCCCCCACACACAGTGGATTCTGGGCCCTGGAGACAAAACCAAGCCTGAAGCCCGCCATGGAGCCTGAACGTAGCCCGGAAAAACGGGACGTGCCAAGGAGACCTCATCTCTGTCCCCAGGATCCCCCAAGGATCTGTAGCAACACGGCCCATTTCTATGTCACCACTTCTGCCTGGCAACTAGGAAGGAAGGACTTTTCCCAGGAGCTGTCACCACAGGGGGAGTTAATTCCAGCTGGAAAACTGAGCCTTGGGGATGCTTTAGGAACAGGGGCCTCGTCCTCAAGACATGACTGATTTCAGTCACCCCTGAAGGACTTTACCATCCCACCCAAGACCTCTGCCTCTTCCAGATGCCACATTGCCATTTCTCCAGTGCCTGTTTTGTGCCCACTAATTTCACAAGTGTTGTTTTGGTTGAACTCTCTGCTCCCCCAAAAATCTTCGTAGCCTGGTCATTCAACCATGAGGGAGCCACAGCTGTACCCAGTGGAATGATGTGCCCTCAGTCCAGGATGTACACCCAGGGCAGCCAGGTCCCACAGCCACTGCTTTCTTCCCCACCACTGCTGCCACGGTTCCCAGAAGTCAGTCTCTAGATCTGGGCTCTGGGATGCAGAGGCCGTCCTCAGGATGAGCGGCAGGGGTTCTGCACAGTGTGTCTTCCCTGCAGAGGAAAGTGCCCCTGCGGTACCTCCAGCCCCATCTTCCCTCCACCGCAGAGCCTGAAGCCCACGTCCTGTGCTCAGGCCTATGCCTATGTGACTGTCCACCCAGCAGCCGTGGAAGGGCTTCTTGGGGCATGCTGGGGCATGGGTATGGATGTGTGAAATTGGCATTCATGATTTTTGAAAGCAGGAAGGAGTGAACCTACAGACTGAGAAGTAATTAAATAGATGCACGAATAGAGGCTGGAAAAGCGAAGGGCACAACCCAAGAGAGGGGGATGGGCAGCCAGGCATGCTTCCTGCTTGACTGCTGCCACTCCAAAGCTTTGTACCACCCCCAAACTTGCATGTTGCCTCTCATCCTTGCACTGGCTCCGGGGCCTCCACAGCCTGGTCCCTGCCAACCTTCAGCTTCTTCTCTGAACTCCCCACCCGACATCAAGTTCCCTGTGCCTGCCCCTCTCAGAGATGCCTCCAGGTCATGCCGCCTCTCCCACACTCAGGATTAAACCTGCAGCTCCAGCCAGTGGCTCACGCCTGTAATCCTTGCACTTTGGGAGGCCAAGGCAGATGGATTGCCTGAGTTCAGGAGTTCAAGACCAGCCTGGGCAACATGGTGAAACCCTCTCTCTACTAAAATTAAAAAAAATTACCCAGACATGACAGCACAACCTATAGTCCCAGCTACTCTGGAGGCTGAGGCACAAGAATCACATGAACACATGAGGTGGAGGTTGCAGTGAGCCGAGATCACACCATTGCACTCCAGCGTGGGCGACAGAGTGAGACTGTCTCCAAAAATAAATAAATAATAAAAAGTCCGGCTCGGGCCGGGCGTGGTGGCTCAAGCCTGTAATCCCAGCACTTTGGGAGGCCGAGGCGGGTGGATCACGAGGTTGAGAGATCGAGACCATCCTGGTCAACATGGTGAAACCCCATCTCTACTAAAAATACAAAAAAATTAGCTGGGCATGGTGGCACATGCCTGTAATCCCAGCTACTCAGGAGGCTGAGGCAGGAGAATTGCCTGAACCCAGGAGGCGGAGGTTGCGGTGAGCCGAGATCGCGCCATTGCACTCTAGCCTGGGTAATAAGAGCGAAACTCCGCCTCAAAAAAAAAAAAAAAAAAAAATGTCCGGCTCCCACATCACCTCCCAAGTGGAGCCTTGTCCAAGAGCCCTTGAGCCAGGCACATCCCTACTGCTGTCCTCTGGCAGAGCAAGTCCCAGTGGGGCAGGAAGGGCCTGGTGTCCACACTCACCCATCTCCCCCACCTCCCCTAAACCAACTCACTGGACAGCCAGAACAGGCAGAGCACCCTGGGGATCGTCATTCTTCTCATCGTTGTTGCTTTTAAGCAGATACTCACCTGCAACTGAGCATACAGGTTCCTGCCTACAGCAGCTTCCTCTGTCGCCAGTTCTTCCTCCCTGAGAACAGTCCTAGCTCTTACCGTGGGTCACTCAGAGAAAAGCTCCAGTCCAATTCCAGAGTTTCCTCTGTGGTGCCTGCACCACTCTTATTTACCCCAGAGATCCCACAGTCTTGGTTCAGAACCACCTTCTATTTTTTTTTTTTTAAGAAATGGTCTAGCTGTGTTGCCCAGGGTGGCCTGGAACTCCCAGGCTGAAGCGATCCTCCCACCTCAGCCTCTTGAGTCGCTGGAACTAGAGAGATTTCTGTGTTGTAGAATCTCTGGCAGGAGAGTGAGGGTTCCCAGATGATTCTAATGTGCTGAGCTATGACCAACTGAGGACCACTCGCCATACCTGGAAAGTTCTGGGAAGGTAGGGACTGCCTTATTCATTCTTGAACACCTAGGAAAGACCCTGCACAGGATACAGATGCCCATCATCTATTGGTTAGCAGGTGAACGTGGCATGTGGACAATAGTGGATTATTCACTATGTGCTCAGCACCATGCAAAGCCCTTTACAAATAGTTGCATTTAACTTTTCCCATAAGACTCTCAGGAGGGCTGTAGACTCTCCATTTTAAAGGTTGCAAAAATGTGGAAAAAGCCCAAATGCCCATCAGTCAGCAAGTAGATAAACCGTGGTATAGCTATACGATGGAATACTACTCAGCCGTAAAAAGGAATGAATTAATGGCATTCACAGCCACCTGTATCAGATTGGAGACTCTTATTTTCAGTGAAGTAGCTCAGGAATGGAAAACCAAACATCATGTGTTCTCACTCATAAGTGGGAGCTAAGCTGTGAGGATGCAAAGGCATAAGAATGACACAACGGACTGTCAGGCTTCAGGGGGAAAGGGTAGGAAGCGGGTGAGGACTAGAAGACTACAAACTGAGTTCCGTGTATACCCTGCTCGGGTGATGGGTGCACCAAAATCTCCCAGATCACCACCAAAGAACTCACTCATGTAACCAAACACCACCTGTTCCCCAAAAACCTAAGGAAATAGAAAATTTAAAAACAAAAAAGCAAGTTAGGTTCAGGGAGGTGAAGGGACTTTTCCAAGCTGGCCTGTCTAGGAAAGGGAAGGGTAGTGGGTGGTTAGACAAACTGGCAGCCAGGGGACAGGCAGGACCTGGCCTCACCCTGGGGCCTGTCCCTGCTCATCAGCACCCGGAGTCACGTGACACAGGGACGCAGGGACAGCCAAGACATTTACAAAGTGAAGATCCTTTGTGCCTGAGTGAAGTGATCCTTTCAAAAATAATCGCCAGCTCCCCTTCACCACCTCCGGAGACCAAGTCCTTGCTGATTTTTCCCCGTCTTTATCTCAAGTACATTTAAATGTCAATTAAATTTGAAATATCTACATTTGTCAGCATTTCATTTTGGGACAGCGTGACGTGCTGCTGATTTGTCCACGCGATGTGACACATGAAAAAAACTCCCGAGATGCAGATCTTCCTCATTAAAAAATAAGCCGGCGCGATCCCGGCACGGCAGAGAGCACGGAGCACGTCCCCACTTCCTGACACCGTGTCTCTGACATGGTATTTAAAAAGGAACAGCCTCGCCTGTCACCACTGTCACATGCGCGCGCTAACCGGCGACACGTTAAACCAAACATTAGAAGGGGTTCGGGAAGTCATCTGCATGGGAACTCTGCGCCAAGACGAGATGGGCAGAGGCGGGAGCAGCCATGGGGGATGATGGGGTCTGATGTGTGACGGATGGCCAGCCTTTCTTCCGTGCCAAGACTCCAGCAGCCCTCGCCGGGCAGCCAAGTTTACGGCAACCTGCCTTTTCACAGACAGCTCTTTGTGTGTGATAAAATCCAGGCAAGTGGTGGGTGGCAGACTGCAGGGGAGTAGCTGAATTGGGTTAATGAGGGAAAAGGTACTTTTTTTTTTTTTTTTTTCATATTCTGCCTTAAGCTAACAAAAACTTTAAGCCTGGACGTTTTCGAAGGTTCATCCTTTATCTCCGGCAAATAATCTGACTGTATGTTTCATGGGAGAACATGGGCAGCTGAGTTTAAATAAGTTTATTTTGAAACCTCACCTTTCATTAAAAGTCAAAGGGGAAATACCTTACCTCTTATTTCATTGTTTCCTACCCAGGAAACTGAAGAGAAAAGATCCCATAGTGGTTGAAAGTCGGCAAATCCAGATTCATTTCTCAGCTGTACCTTTAGCTGCTGTGTGACCCTGGGCAAGTGACTCCCCTTCTCTGAGCCTTAGCTACTTTGTCTGCAAAATGGGGTTGCAGTAAAGAATTCATGAGAAATGTATAGACAGCATTTTGCCCAAGGTTTGTAAGTACTGCTAGTGTTATCATCCCATGTGGCCTGGACTTGACAAAGCTCTGATCTGACCACATCAGACGGCAAACTTCTCACCTGGGTGCACCCCACCCCTTTCAAGAGACAGGTGGTATATTCTGGAGACAGCTGGGCCTCCTGTGGAAAACCACTGCCCAACCAGCCTGGCCTGGCCAGTACATCCAAGTAGAGAAGGAAAGTGGCTTGTGAGCTGGAAACTGTGGTTCCCTCTCTTCCCCCACCTGCCACAGTCTTGCCAGGGTGGGGACCCCCAGCCCCCTCCACCATCACAGCAGTGCGGGAGGCACTGGATGCTGACGGTGGCCGGAACTGCAGCAGCCCGATTTAACGAAGCCAAGGTGCAGCCCAGCACAGAGGCTCTGCGATCCTAGGTGTGAAGCCAGAAATTCCTGGCAGGTTGAGTGGCGTTTGACCAACATGCCAAACTGTGATCTGTGCGTTCTCGTCATATCCAGAGGCGGGGGCCCGTGCTTGGATAGGCATCAGAAAGGCATTCAAGGTGGGCATGAGAGGCTCCCTCAGTTGGGCCCAAGCAGGGGCTGGTGTTCCCTCTTGTGTGTCTACGCCAAGCCCCACTCATAGGAGGGCGAGGGCCCTGGGGGTGGCCAGTCCAGGCTGCAATCCCCACTCACCACTTCACCAGTGAAGCCCCGGTACACAGCTAGCCTGGGTCTGCTCACGACAGCCAGGCTCTGAGTGCCTCTTGGTTGGGTGCACAGATGGACAGATGGATGGGTGGACTCATGAAGGCCTCGTCCTCTAGAAAATCAGTATGGCGACACCTCTTAGGCTCTTGTGAGGGGTAGAAATGGCCTCTATAAAGCACAGTGCCTGCTTGTTGATTATCGTCTTAAACACTTCCTGCCTCCCCCTACCCACCCGACACGCTCACCCTCAAACATCGTCCCATTCTTCACCTCTTAGCATCTCAGCACAGATGGGAGCCCAGAGAGAGAACACTTTTATGCAACAGCCACAGTCTGGGGAAAGGAGACAGTGTGGTATAGTCCAGGAAGATGGTAAAGTGGGGGTCCCCCAGCAGGCTGGCTTTCATTCATTTGCAAACCTCCCTGGCATTCATGCCCTAGCCCAGGTGGGGAGAAAGAGAACAAGAAGCCAGGCCCTTTCCTTGATGAACTCGACCCAGAAACAGAATGGCAAGAGGTTAAACGGTGTCTGTGAAGGGCTAAGCTGCACAGCCAGAGAGCTCTGCTGGATCTCCAGTGAGCTTCCTCAAAGACCCATCAAACTGAGTCTTCACCACCGAAGAGCAGTCAGTGCTCCAAGCAAAGGTGACAGGGAGGGTGGAATATTCAGGGCCTGGTGTGCAGAGATGTTATGCACAGCCCAAGTGCAGGGGAGGCCGACATAGAGCATGGAGACTGCCCTGCTCGGAGCTCAGGCTTGGCACGGCCACTCAGCAGCGCATCCCACCAGCTCCCCAGAGTGTGGCGGAAGCCCACGGCCTGCCCACCCTCAGCCTCTCACCTGCTCAGGAGAACAGTCAGTGCTACAGAGTGAGAGTGGGCGCCCCCTAACTTTGAAACAAGTCCCTGCAAATACCTGCGTATTATCGTTCCTAACCCTTTGCTCCGCAGGTTGATTTACTCACCATGCCACCAATTGCAGCAAGATCACCATTCAGAATGACAGATTTGTAGGTTTTAGCAGGAGAGTAACAACTGTGGGTTTGTGATTCAGAGACTGGTGGCCATGTGGAGGGTGGCCTTTCTGCTCTGTCTTATTCGCTGTGGAGG